ATGTACAGACTACTGTATAATCCTAATCAGTAGATAAGTAGATGTACAGACTACTGTATAATCCTAATCAGTAGATAAGTAGATGTACAGACTACTGTATAATCCTAATCAGTAGATAAGTAGATGTACAGACTACTGAATAATCCTAATCAGTAGATAAGTAGATGTACAGACTACTGTATAATCCTAATCAGTAGATAAGTAGATGTACAGACTACTGAATAATCCTAATCAGTAGATAAGTAGATGTACAGACTACTGAATAATCCTAATCAGTAGATAAGTAGATGTACAGACTACTGTATAATCCTAATCAGTAGATAAGTAGATGTACAGACTACTGTATAACCCTAATCAGTAGATAAGTAGATGTACAGACCACTGTATAATCCTAATCAGTAGATAAGTAGATGTACAGACTACTGTATAATCCTAATCAGTAGATAAGTAGATGTACAGACTACTGTATAATCCTAATCAGTAGATAAGAACATTTACAGACTACTGTATAATCCTAATCAGTAGATAAGAACATTTACAAACTTCTGGGTAATTCTAATCAGTCGGTAAGTAGGCTTACAGACTACCAGGTAATCCTACTCAGTCGATAAGCAGACTTACAGACTATTAGGTATTCCTGATTAGTAAAGAACCAGATTTACAGACTACTGGGTAGTCCTGATTATTGAAGAACCAGATTTAGACTACTGGGTAGTCCTGATTATTGAAGAACCAGATTTACAGACTACTGAGTAATCCTGATTATTGAAGAACCAGATTTAAAGACTACTGGGTAATCCTGATCATTGAAGAACCAGATTTACAGACTACTGGGTAATCCTGATCATTGAAGTACCAGATTTAAAGACTACTGGGTAATCCTGATTATTGAAGAACCAGATTTAAAGACTACTGGGTAATCCTGATCATTGAAGTACCAGATTTAAAGACTACTGGGTAATCCTGATCATTGAAGAACCAGATTTAAAGACTACTGGGCAGTCCTGATCTGATAATTTTTACCTCGAGAGAAGCTGTTCCTGTGAAGTATGATCCATTGTACTCGTTGATTATTAACCCGTGACCTAGTAGTTAGTGTGTTGGGTTGAAGTGTTCGAGTGATGAACACTCTCTGTACTTCCAGCTTTAGGTTCGCTATAATTTTGATAGTCAATCCATTTAATCGATTGAAAAAGTCGAAAAAAGCAGCGATTGTTGCTGGCTACCTGTCTTACCTCTGGCCAGTAATTCAAAATTAGTGGTGGCTATACCTGAACCACAGGGGTTTCTGACCTTTCCACCTATCTCACGTGCCATTCAGGTTGAAATTTCCAACAAGAATGATTACAGTTAAACCTTCTCCGATGATCCTTTGCGTGTCAGATCGTAGTTAGACAAAAAAACATAGACTACAAAACAAATGAGTAATAGTTCGAGAAATAGCCCAGAGATGGCTCTGTGGTTGCAATTATGGACAAACACGATAACTTCGTAAAGATCATGCGGAAAATATGTTTTTCATATCGTCTCAGTCTAAAAGCAAAAGATGTACCAATACTTGTGATCGTAAGCATTTATCCAAAACAACAACAACAAACAAAGAACACTTACATCTGTAGCAAACA